AGTGGGGTAACCGATGCAGTGCTGCGATGTGTTGGGGCAGTATCTGACTCCAGCCTCATTAAGTGACAAGAAATTGTTACTTGGTAGGGCTTGGGTGTTTCTAACCAGACGGTTAGGTGGGAAGAAGGAGGATTGGAGAATTGGACGGAAAGGAGTGGAAGGACGATTAGGTGGGAGAAGGATGGTTGGAGAATTGGGTGGAAAGGAGTGGATGGGATACTATGGTGATTGCAAGTCAACAAATTCAAAGGATCACATACATTATATATATCATACAAACATGCAAATCAACAAATTCAAAGGATCACATACATCATATATATCATACAAACATGCAAGTCAACAAAATAAATATCATACATACCATGCAAACATGCAAGTCAACAAATCAATTACATATCATGCAAACATGCATTCCAACAAAATTAAAGGATCACATTCATCATACATACCATGCAAATATACAAATCAACAAAAGCATACCATGCAAACATGCAAGTCAACAAATCAAAAGGATTATATATATCATATATGCTATGCAAACATGCAAATCAACAAAATCAAAGAACATTTTAATTCATTACATTAGCTTAAAATATTATATTATGACATGCAAAATCAACAAAAACATTAATCATCAAAACAAGCATTAATTGCTTAAAAACAAACATTATATATAAAATTAAAACTTTTAATTTGACTTGCATTAGATTGATAAAATAAACATTATTGCAATCACCATAGAATTTAAAGGATATATAGGATTAACTAGAAAATGCTGTAATTATAATTTTTAGTAATACAATTTGTAAGATTTAAATTATTTTAATAAAAAAAATTTTAATAAACAAACAAAAATATTGACAATGTATATTTTATTCACTAATATATAATTTCTTGTTTTTCCATGCTCATTTTATTTTCAAAGGCCTTGAAATCGCAAACTACAAAAACTTTTAATAAAGAACTGTCGACATTAACTTTTGTTGTAATCAAATACTCAAGATTATAATAATTGCCGTTTTATGTCAAAATGTAATTCTCACCGTGCAAAAGTTATTTTTCTCGTATTCTATCTAATCCTAACTACGAAAATTATCTCTGATAAAAAACGCTAACTTATTCTATTCTGGTTTTCTTATATGACAAAATTCCATTCGTAAAAGGTTTTCTCTTTTTTTGGGTGTTTTGATTAATTAGTATAGAGGAATTACTTTAGTTCTAGTGAATTTTGCACACAGTTTATATAATGAGTGATCATGTACATCGGTGATTTCATCAATTGCTTGTTGCCGATTTTCTATTAATTACTCTTCAGGTGCTCTATCATTTAATATTTATGGTCTACCGCGCCGGACAGTAATTGTAGCTCAGCCAAACTCTTTACATTTATGTATGATGCTATGAAATGTTGATTTGGATCGTCCTAGAATTGTTCTCGCCTCCGTAAGTTGGTAATTTCTGCGAGTATTGATGTCATCTTTTATGCGCTTAAGACCAAAATCTTTCTTATTATTGTTAATTTGTTTAAAAACACGGTCCAAAGTTAGCATTGCGTGAAGAATAGAATAAAATTCCAACTGAGGCGTAATTTATTTTGCTTGAAAATATGCAGAAAAGAATTAAGGTATTCAAAATCAATGATGTGGCCCATGAAGTACTAAATATTAGATAAATTGTTAGATAAAACACATTCCTAAGTTCAAATAAAGGTTCCGAAAACTTTTGGAAGGTGATTGTACATATGAAATATGTAATTTCTCCATTAAAAGTAATACAGTATATTAATTCAAAGCTTAATAACATGTACAGTAACCACAAAAAGTATCGACCTATTTGAAATTATATAATAAAAAATATATAAAAATTATATAATTACTATAAAGAGAGTTACTGTGTAAACAGTTCTTGCATCTTAAGTCGTCCAAGCTAAAAAAATTTTTTCCTTTACAATTAAAAATGCTCTTTGCATTTTAAGTCGTCCGCAGCTGGGAATCATCTGTATAAAAATATAATTCATGAGCATAAAATTTACTAGAAAAAACATGAATATGTATATAGCTTGAAATTTTCCATGTTTTACTATATAATTTGGAACCGAGCGATACTTTTTGTGGGCACTATACATGCATGAAATGAGTAGCCATTATTGAGATCTAACAAATTAAACTTCTGTATATGAGACCGCCTTGATTTCCAAAAAATTTTAAAAATAAAAATAAAGTGAACAGAAATTCTGAAGAAATTTTGGTGATAACAAAAGAGAAAAGTAAACTATCAAAGGAAATATTAATCAATACACTATTCTAATAGCCTAATATTTATACATTAAAAATAAAACTCAATTGTGAAAATTATGTGGTATTTCGATATTCCCTTTTTTATTATCATTTTTGCAATTTCTATAACTCTCTTTGCAACCTTTTGTATCCGATTTTCTCTCACAGTTTTTACAAAATTGTAAGATAAGGCTTTTCCTGAAGTTTATGTCTAGCACCTATCGTAAATTTTTTGACATTTGGAAGATCGATAATCTTTGCTGCAGCATTGAAAAACATACTTGTATCCTCGTGAATTAACATCATTATTGTGACAGCAATTCCAGTATCCAAGTACGAGCTCGGATTTGCTCCTCCAAGAGAAAAAGACACGAACTTTCCAAGCTTGAGGACTATTGTCAAACACTTGTTTCGTTGTAAATCCAACATAGTAGTTATGCTTATAAACATGAAGAGATAGATAAACATTTCCCTTATGAACACACTCTGTATCTGGGTGAAATGATTCTGTTTCCAAATGACATTTAGAAAATATTAACCTTGGATCAATTTCTTAGAACATTTGAATTTTCTAAGGTTGAGACATATTGGACAATTCTTTAAAAATACAAAACTCACTTGTGAAATTTTCCCTTAACATAAACACTTGTGCATGGTAAACTTTCAAACAAAATTGCAAAATCGCCAGTTTTGAATTCAAATCATTTTTAATGTTATGTTCTTTTGGGATAGTTCTCTGTCACTATCACGAGGACCATTATTAATTGTATCCCCTTTAGTGACGATGATGATATTATCCCACACATTTCCACTATAGTATTTTGCCAAAGATTCTATAAATCTTGCTTGACGTTTGTACGAGGTTTTCGTTCTAACGTTGGATACCACGACCACAAGATCGTTGTTATATTCTGAATTTTCGTTTCCAAAATCTTAAGAGAAATCGAAAACACAGTTTCCTCATCGTTCTTATCTTCATCAGAATCATCGAACCCTGGTGTATCAATATAGAAACCTCCTTTAATATTATGAATCGTAATTTTATCAGTTTCGGATTTGGTTGAATGTCCGATTCTCACATTTTGCGCCCCAAAGATGGTTGCTGTGAGGCTTTTCCATTCCCCGTATTGCCAACTGCAAGATACATCGTTGTGATAACTAATACATGCGCATCGAATATAAGTATAAATCCTTTTTTTAAGTATTTTAAAAATGAAAATGACACTTACGTTGCATCAAACATTTTGTCGTAGCTATCAATAAGAGATTGGGTCTTAGTGATAAATCAAAGTGTTGTCAAATAAACCCAGAATTTATCTGATCGTCAGATTTTCGAAATTCAATAAATGAAAGCAATTAAATATTATCTCTTCTAGTCATTATTTGTGTGAAACAGCACCTCATCAATCTTTATTGTGAAATACATGTAACTGTGTAATTGCTGGTTTTATTTTTTATGTTAGAAAAAGTGAACAAAAAAAGCGAATTTCAATAATTTGATAAAAATCAAGCATATACCCTCTCTATTATAGTCTCTTTAGTGAATCGTCCAGCATAATTCGATTGTTTTTTTTTCGGCTCTAGTTCCAGATCCTTTACCTCGTCCACGTCCTCTGCAGGCTATATATTAAAGGAATGAAATAAGATTAATATTAATCAGAGCTATAATAGAAACATGTGAATCGAAAATTAAAGAATGCTTGCGCTCCGGTGGATTCTGAGATTGTTGTGTCAAGCTGCAGTAAATAATAAAATAAAAAATTTACGATGGTAGAAAATTACAAAATGAATACTTATATTCTTCGCTTCTACATTTACGAGTATTGTATATGGGACATGTCCGCCCTATATAAGACGGTGGGACATTGTCCAGAATGTCCACGTCCACATATGTCCTAACCAATTAGTTATTAAAATTTTTCATGTCCATACTTATGTACATGTACGTAAAAAGTAACAATGAATATACCACGCCCATGCGCAAAATTGCCACAAAATTATGGGGATCCTTAATACTAACTAACATAACCAGCAGAGAATACTTACGTTGGGGAGGCCCGGTTTAGTAAGGAAGATAAAGATGAACTTATGGTCTCCTACACTATGATAATATTATCGGATTACGGCACATTTTTCTTGCAGCTTGCTTGGCATTCATAAATTCAAATAAAAATTAACTATTTTTACCTTTGTCAACTGAGTACGATAGATGCATGTATTATTAAATTTCGCCTAAGAAAATAAAAAAACTTTAATATTAGTGTTAACCATAACAAAACGGGACAGAAATTTGGATTATACATGTACATGTAGTATCCGAATTTTTTATAAACTACATCGAATACAATAAATTTTTTATAATTTAAGATATCGCTTTTTTTATTGCATTACACAAATCGAGATTTTAGATTTTAAGTTAAAAAAAATGAAGCAAAGGAGAATTGAATACATTTTCAACTAAATGTAAATGCACACTACATCTATTAAACTTTGGTATCGATAAACGAGAGTAAAAGATACTTTTAGAATATAATTCATGAAATTCTAATTAAAAATAAATTAAATAAGTTGAATAATAAATATAAGAATTAATTGAAATAATCATAAATCATAGAATTTCGAATCAAATTATACAATGCTAAATTAAAAATTTTGAAAAAACACAAATATTTACTACGCGTTTGAAGAAGTGTTACATGTACTATGCGTGATGGGAAAATAGTGTTACTATGCCAGATTAAATATCTTGACAAGATGGTGATTTTGGGTCAATTTAAAAGCAATCTGGTTGGATTACAAATGTGATCAAATGGGAAAGTCGTGTTCGAAAAATTTACTAGGAAGACAATCAAATAATATTCACACATAGAATTTGAATCCCACTGGCATACATAACTATGGCAACGATTATCTTGTTAGTTTACTACCATTTCAACCCAATTCATGTGCTCTTTATTATAATGAATATGATGAATTTCGATAGATAAATACTACTATAAGTGTTTAGCTCACAATACTCATGATATCACAAATGAAATCCATATGTCTAGCGGGGATAAAGATATCGACAATCTAATAAAAGAATCCAACAAAGAATATCGATATAACAATATATTCGAATGGATTCCTTTAAATGATTTATAAGCATTGAATATCTTTTGGGCCAATTTTTAAAGCAATCTGACTCTTGATGATTATGATGATTATCATGTATCCCTATACCCGAGTGGGAAACGACATGGAGAAAGAAAATTTGTGTTAAAATCATTTCACAACTCAAAGCAAACTATTCAAGAGTTCAGGCTCTAGTACGAACTCCCGAAAGAACGACATCCCGAATGTACGAAAACATGGTGAACGACATCCCGAATGAATGAAAACCTGATAAAAGACATCCCGTGATAATTTTAGTATTCCATGCATTTTGGGACACATGCACTATACTCTCGGGATTTCGATATTTTGCGCTTATATACGTTCTGGATTTCGACCGTTACCGAATTTGTCAAAAATAGATTCAAACTGAGTTTAAATGCTATGTGATTATGTCGGCGATATTATTGATTACAGGATAACACAAAACCCAGTTACAAATGAATATTCGAATCGCATGAACGTAGTGCATAAAATGTTTTTAAATATCACAAGCAAATTTATAATGATGAATAGTCTAACGGAGATAAAGGTATCGACAATTTAATAAAAAGAATGCAACAAATTTAATAAAGATAATGAATTACTCGAATGGATTCCTTTTGAAAGATTTACCAGTATTGAATATCTTGCAATCGGAGGTTTTTTGTAAAGCAACGATAACGATAGTACACCAAAGTGTAGATCGATATATCGATGTCACTTGATTTGTATCCGATATCGGTGATGTCACTTGATTTGTGTATTTGTTTAGATCGATGTATCGATATCGGTGATGTCACTTGATTTTAGGAAAATCTCACGACATCATATACATGCACTCGTAGAGGAATTCTTGTCGGAAATCTTTCTTTTTTGTTGTCTTCAATAGTAAATGTTGAGGAATTTTTGTCGGGAATCTTTCTTTTTTGTTGTCTTTCAGAGAAAGATAATATTTAATATTA